ATTGAACAGTCTTGGGCCCCGGACACTGTATTGTCTCCCAGTGTACTCGTGGCGCCCCTGCTTTTCACTGGGAGAATGTTGCATCTCCTGCCGAATCTTTTGCTTTCATAGGGAGTGATTTTCGTGTGCAGGTTTGGTACCAATCCTTCCAGGACCTTCCAAGTGTATATTATCATGTATCTCTCGCCTGCGTTCTAGGGAATACAGATCAAGGTGTCACCTGCAGCCCTGTGTTCAGCCAAGAGGAAACTTTTAAGTTTTCACTCTGAAATCACATATTGTGTCTTATTAACATAAAGCTTTTGCAGTCCGCCCATCCCTCTCTTAGCCTGCCTGACCTAGTTTTATTTTATCCTAGACACTGCTCTGGGATAAATAAATTTTACTAGGTATTTACTAATCCCTTTCATTGAAGAGGGTGATCTGATGCTGGTGAATGGCTCTTGATCCAAGTAACTGGAGCTACCATCCCCTTCCATAAATTAAACCTGATTATCTCACATTCCCAAGGATCACTTTTGATCTACGCCATTAGCGCAACTCCCAGAAATATAATATGAATCTCATAATTTCCTCCATCATGTGGAATGCAAGACTCATCAATCATTTCCAGCTGTGACTGAGAGCTGCTTATTAGTTTTATTTTTGGAAAATTTGGATTATATTATCAGGTGTCCTGGCCTTAGGCGCCTTTCCCGAGACGATTTTTTAATCGCAGGGACATAAGAATAGATGAATACTGCAACTAGTCTACTGGCCCATACTTGGCAGGTCTTCCTCGAATATTTGGGCAAGTGATTTCCTCATGAGCTTCCGTACAGTCAACAGCAACATTAGCTGAAAGAAAAAACTTTCGTATCATAAATAACTTCGATATCATCAAAACATCAGGGGGATTACCAACAGACCCCTGGCAGTCTTCAAGCTGGCACTGGACAAGCACCTAAAGTCAGTTCCTGATCAGCCGGGCTGTGGCTCGTACGTTGGCTTGCGTGCAGCCAGCAGCAACAGCCTGGTTGATCAGGCGCTGATCCACCAGGAGGCCTGGTCACAGACCGGGCCGCGGGGGCGTTGACCCCCGAAACTCTCTCCAGGTAATCTCCAGGTAAACTACAACTACTAGGATGAATAATGAACGTATTCATCAGTCACGTTATGTCTACCTAATAACTGAATAGGTAGCTGAATAGATATGACCTAATTCCGGCTATGACTAGCATATTTACCCAGTCTTCCCATCCTTGGCAAAGGCATATCATATACGTTAAAATTATTCTCAGGAATTATATGTATTGTCACTGTCATGGTAATTATATCCTCGTATTTCTTGCAAAACAAGAATTTAATAGACATGATGTTATATAAGTCGTATATTTTCCCATCTGCTTATTATTATTATTATTATTATTATTATTATTATTATTATTATTATTATTATTATTATTATTATTATTATTATTATTATTATTATTATTAGCGTGGGGAAGCGCTAATTCCGTAAGGGGTACCCAGCACCTGTGGAATGAGACGCAAATAGATTTGATTCAAGAAAGAGGGTGGATAGCTACAGTTTTTTGGATCAAGAGCTGTATTACTCCCCAGGCAAACCAGTAATTTATTTTAGAAAGCTGAGGCAAGCAGTGAGGCCAGAGAGATCCTGGGGAGGCAGTGTTAGGCTGTACCAGGCTCTTCCCTTCCTTCCCCACACCTCACCTTCCTTCCTCACACCTCACCTTCCTTCCCCACACCTCACCTTCCTTCCCCCACACCTCACCTTCCTTCCCCACACCTCACCTTCCTTCCTCACACCTCACCTTCCTTCCCCACACCTCACCTTCCTTCCTCACACCTCACCTTCCTTCCCCACACCTCACCTTCCTTCCCCACGCCTCACCTTCCTTCCCCACACCTCACCTTCCTTCCCCACACCTCACCTTCCTTCCTCACACCTCACCTTCCTTCCCCACACCTCACCTTCCTTCCTCACACCTCACCTTCCTTCCCCACACCTCACCTTCCTTCCCCACGCCTCACCTTCCCCACGCCTCACCTTCCCCACGCCTCACCTTCCCCACGCCTCACCTTCCCCACGCCACACTTCCTTCCCCGTAATTATGTTAATTGGTGATTAACGATTTGCAAGAAGTTGATAAACTCTTAAAATCTAATCAATAATAAAATGTTAAGTTTCTTTGGTAATTCCAGTCAACGAATATATACCCCGAGAGGTATATGTCTCTCAGTGTATATACCCCGAGATATATATATATATATATATATATATATATATATATATATATATATATATATATATAATATATATATATATATATATATATATATATATATATATATATATGACTCTCAGTGTATATACCCCGAGATATATATATGACTCACAGTGTATATACCCCGAGATATATATATGACTCACAGTGTATATACCCCGAGATATATATGACTCAGTGTATATACCCCGAGAAATATATGACCCAGTGTATATACCCGGAGAGGCATATGACTCAGTGTATATACCCCGAGAGATATATGACTCTCAGTGTATATGCCCCGAGAGATATATGACTCTGTATATACCCCAAGATATATATGACTTTCAGTGTATATACCCCGAGAGGTATATGACTCAGTGTATATACCCCGAGAGATATATGACTTTGTTGATGAACAGATGACATGCAGCCTTAAGTGACCCTCGTGTAGTCGATACTCATTACACTTCCCCATTAACCAGCTAATCGGATGCAATCAATGGGATGATGTTTAGCATGCAAAGTTATCAACATAAGTGAAGCTTACTCTAGACAAGTATGTTATAGATAACTGTCGCTCCCACCAACACTACTTCCATGCTGGCGAAACTTCTCAAGAAATATTTAAAGGATCAATATTTTAATCAGTCATTATCTTATAAAAGTAATAAATGAACTGCAACTGGAAATTATACTAAGATTATATGTCATTAGGTTACGTGAATCACGTAAAACAGCATGATGAGAGAGCAGCCCTATGATCAGTAAATGATTATTATTATTATTACTATTATTATTATTATTATTATTATTATTATTATTATTATTATTATTATTATTATTATTATTATTATTAATATTATTATTACAGGGAAGCGCCAAGGGTCATGCAGCTTCTAATGAATGAGAGGTAATCAGTCAGGTCAAAGTAGCTCCAGTTCCTTAGATAAAGATACCTTCATTGTCTAAGCAATCAGTTTTCTTGGAGGATGCTGAGGTAAGTGCCACGTGTAAGAGTCAATGACCTCAACGCCACTCAGATCACAGCAGCAGCAAGACATACGACCTGGTCCTTCATCACACATAGCCAGAGTGAAAATAACCAAATTTCCACCACCGTTTTGGTACCTAGGGATCATATTAAACCAAGAAGGCAATACTATTGCCCTTGGGAACACCATTTGTTGTGGGTGGGTCTCTAGAGGAGGTCAGGGGGGGATGGGGTTGAAAGGAGGTGGAAGTGATGCTGGAGGCAGATGGAGACATCTCCACCAGGTGGACTGCCTATGCAGGTGAGGTTAGATTATAACAGATTGTTAGAATGAGGATAGGTGAGATTAGGTTATTTTAAGGTACGTGGGGTTAGGTTGAGTAAGGTTATGGCAGGTAGGGTTAACTGAGGTTGCTTTATGTAAGATTAGATTAAAATAAGTGTTAGTTATACAAAAGGAGATATTGTGTTAGAACGTGTATATGATGTAGGTTTAGTGAGGTAAAGTTAGAATGAGTTCTTAAACAAATTTAATGGGAGTGTTAAAGCTAAACCCGTAGTAGTTATATAACACATGTGCAACATTTGGGTATCTTATTGCTGAAAATTTTCACCTGTGTAGCAAGTTTTTTTGGTTGAATACAGTTGAATCTAACACTAGTGACAAGTAAAAATAATTAAGAGATGATCAGTCCCTGAGCCTTGATAGCAGGTAGTTATTCCTTCAGCCTGAAGCAGAGGCAGTCGACCAGATTTTATATATTGGAATATAAATGAGGTGCAGCAGCTGGAGGTGACATCACAGGCGAGCGAGGTCTGCTAGAGGAAGTAGATCAGGCTAAACAGTTATTTAGGAAAGGAGTTGCAGAGGACTTCCCTTGCACCAAGACACCATGGTATTGCTGTGTCAGACAGGTGTCATATTATGGTGTTATACAACTATGACAAGGTGAAGGATAAGACACATGCACATTAGTTGGGTATCTTTATTAACAAAATACCTGCACAACAGGCTTCTTCAGTCGAACACAAACGAATATAAAACTAGAGACATAAATCTGAGGTGATCACTTCCTAAACCTTGGGTGTCTTCCAGTGCATTCACGACCATGTCGTAATGGTCTAACAACTGCTAAAGCCAGGAACGGCCCGCTCTAAGCTCCTGCTTTCCTGGGTTGTGCAGTTGATGTAACTTCATGGGCTGGTGTATTTTGCTCAACTGAAGGTTCACATTGTTAATGGACTGCATATATTAAAATTTGCCAATTTTATTAAGCTAATTGTGACATTGATCTCCATTTAACAATTCATTTAATCCATTTAACAATTAGAGAATATATCTTTTGATTGGCTTCAAACCTTTAATGCTTATGTATAATTGGATATGGAGATACCTTTCTCGGACCATTGAGGTAGAGGGGGCTGAGCTTATGCGATACAGGGATATTTCTCTTGGATCACCGAGGTACAGGGGGGCAGGGCGTATGGGATACAGGGATCCCTTTCTTGGATCACTGAAGTAAAGGGGGCTGGGCTTGTGGAATATAGGGATTTCTCTTTTTTTTTAGACGAGCCTCAACTGAAGCACATCTAGATCTTTTATCGTTCATTATATACGAATTCTATTTTTTTCTTTGCTGTACACAAACACCCGCTGTCGCACTGGTAAAAATTTCAGTGTATATTGGAATGAATAAGAGATTATCGATATTAAATATAAATGAAGAATATTATTATCAATATGTCATTCCCGTTTTCATTTTAAATTGTAGAATAGTTGTGAATTTTAAGAAAGTAACAAAACTAATGCTGAAGATAAATCTCATAAGAAAATTGTGGAAGGTATGGTCACTGAGGTAAATTCATAATGAAAGTCAAATCAATATTAAATATGTATATATTCTCATATTTACATAATTGACCCTTATCTGAACATATTACATGAACGATTATAAATTAAATGAAACTTGTCTTGAAAGAATTGGCCATCATAAAAGTATTAAGACTCCCAGTGTGCAGGTTGGAGGATCAGGTAGCACAGCCTCGCTGCTCCGCGGATTTATTTATTAGTTAAAAAAGTAAACAACGAATAAAGCCAGAGTATTCATTATCTGAAAATTTTGAATCAAGTTAAAAAATGGAACATTGAAAATAAATATGACGATTATTATTATAATCCTGGAAACTGCTAAACCCACCGCAAAAGTGTGAAAATTTTCAGTTTCCTGAAAAAAATATACTTTAGCTGGAAGGGTTTTTCGGAGTCTCCGATGCTAATGAAGGCCTCTGCGTCCAAGGAACTCGAGCTACCTTCCCGTTCCCTGGATCAAACCTTGTTACTTCCCCTACCCCAGACGCTGTATGACCATCTATGGGTTTAGTACTTCCTCGTGAATGTAATAAAGTAAACACCCGCACACTGAGAGTCTTGGTCCTGTCCTTCAGTCAGCGTCCCAGCCTCAGCTAACCACATCGTGGGGGATAGCTGGCTCCATTAACTGTGCAGAAGAAGGACAAGGAGAAGGTGACGGCTGTGTTAGTGGAGGTGGCAGTGACGGTGTAGGTGGAGGAGGAGGTGAAGACGACGGTTAAGGCGATGCGTGGGTCTCTAGCCGGGCTGTCAATAAGGGACAACTTGTCTGCCTCGTCCTGCCTTAGTGTACCGTCCAGTGCTGACGACCTCCAAGTCAAGTAAAAGTGAGTAAGTAAAGTAAGCACGTAAATAAGTTCATTAAGGTGCATTACACAAGGTTACATTATTCCTACTGTCTTACACAATTGTAAATTACCTAAGATTACTCATAAAAAGGTCAAGCAAAGTGACCTTTGCCATGGGGGCCCTTGCAAGCATCACACATTAAACTGTATTATTACACACGGCAAGCACTAAACCCATATGGGCCATATTGAAATTTACCCTCAAAAATATTAAATGCTTGTCATTTTTTTGTTTACCCTAGTCTAATTCTTCCAAAGGGAGATTCAACCATGACCCCTATATAGATTTAGCACTTCCCATTAATAATAATAACAATAGCTATTATTATTGTATAAAGGCAAAGGGGACAATAGAGAATGCAAAAATTATAGGGGGATAAGTTTGAGTATACCTGGTAAAGTGTATGGTAGAGTTATTATTGAAAGAATTAAGAGTAAGACGGAGAATAGGGTAGCAGATGAACAAGGAGGCTTTAGGAAAGGTAGGGGGTGTGTGGACCAGGTGTTTACAGTGAAACATATAAGTGAACAGTATTTAGATAAGGCTAAAGAGGTCTTTGTGACATTTATGGATTTTGAAAAGGCGTATGACAGGGTGGATAGGGGGGCAATGTGGCAGATGTTGCAGGTGTATGGTGTAGGAGGTAGGTTACTGAAAGCAGTGAAGAGTTTTTACGAGGATAGTGAGGCTCAAGTTAGAGTATGTAGGAAAGAGGGAAATTATTTCCCAGTAAAAGTAGGCCTTAGACAAGGATGTGTGATGTCACCGTGGTTGTTTAATATATTTATAGATGGGGTTGTAAGAGAAGTAAATGCGAGGGTCTTGGCAAGAGGCGTGGAGTTAAAAGATAAAGAATCACACAAAGTGGGAGTTGTCACAGTTGCTCTTTGCTGATGACACTGTGCTCTTGGGAGATTCTGAAGAGAAGTTGCAGAGATTGGTGGATGAATTTGGTAGGGTGTGCAAAAGAAGAAAATTAAAAGTGAATACAGGAAAGAGTAAGGTTATGAGGATAACAAAAAGATTAGGTGATGAAAGATTGGATATCAGATTGGAGGGAGAGAGTATGGAGGAGGTGAATGTATTCACATATTTGGGAGTGGACGTGTCAGCGGATGGGTCTATGAAAGATGAGGTGAATCATATAATTGATGAGGGGAAAAGGGTGAGTGGTGCACTTAAGAGTCTGTGGAGACAAAGAACTTTGTCCTTGGAGGCGAAGAGGGGAATGTATGAGAGTATAGTTTTACCAACGCTCTTATACGGGTGTGAAGCATGGGTGATGAATGTTGGAGCGAGGAGAAGGCTGGAGACAGTGGAGATGTCATGTCTGAGGGCAATGTGTGGTGTGAATATAATGCAGAGAATTCGTAGTTTGGAAGTTAGGAGGAGGTGCGGGATTACCAAAACTGTTGTCCAGAGGGCTGAGGAAGGGTTGTTGAGGTGGTTCGGACATGTAGAGAGAATGGAGCGAAACAGAATGACTTCAAGAGTGTATCAGTCTGTAGTGGAAGGAAGGCGGGGTAGGGGTCGGCCTAGGAAAGGTTGGAGGGAGGGGGTAAAGGTTTTGTGTGCGAGGGGCTTGGACTTCCAGCAGGCATGCGTGAGCGTGTTTAATAGGAGTGAATGGAGACAAATGGTTTTTAATACTTGACGTGCTGTTGGAGTGTGAGCAAAGTAACATTTATGAAGGGGTTCAGGGAAACCGGCAGGCCGGACTTGAGTCCTGGAGATGGGAAGTACAGTGCCTGCACTCTGAAGGAGGGGTGTTAATGTTGCAGTTTAAAAACTGTAGTGTAAAGCACCCTTCTGGCAAGACAGTGATGGAGTGAATGATGGTGAAAGTTTTTCTTTTTCGGGCCACCCTGCCTTGGTGGGAATCGGCCAGTGTGATAATAAAAAAAAATAATAATAGTCTCTCACTCAAATGTGCCTACGGGCGTGTCTTCGATGTTGGTGTAGCGACGGTACCGTCTGTAGCTGCGCCTCTGGCAGACGTTGGTACCTATTGCCAGGGCGCAGGTGAAAGGCGCTGTCGTTGTGGAGGTGGTGAGGAAGACAGCAGTCTTGGTCGACCTGGCTGCCACGATCCTCAGATCATCACTGTCACGAGCTGTCAGAGAGGTAAATGTGGTTGGTTGGTGAAATGTTTTAAAGCGTATCGTCTACATTTAGTCTAACAGCTTTTTTTTTTTTTCATTCACCCGATACCAACCTTCTGGGTGGTAGTCAAAAGATTACAAAATCTGTAAGCAAGTTACAGTGATGACTTAGTGTAAATATGGCACCAATTTCTCGGCGCAGCTTTCCCCTCAAGGAAGGTTCCTTGATGCTGGTGAGGGGCTCTTGATTTAGGGAATTGGATCTGTGCTCCAGTTCCCCGAATTAAGCCTGAATGCCTTCCACATCCCCCCCCAGGCGCTGTATAATCCTCCGGGTTTAGCGCTTCCCCCTTGATTATAATAATAATAATCGGCGCAGCTTCACCATTAGGATATCAATTTCACATATCATAAATACTTACGAACATTAATCCTTACCGTTAACTTCTGCGGTTAACTAATAGTTATTTAACGTCTCCATTTGTATTTTCTTTGTGTAAGACTACATATAACCTGTTCACCTGTCAAGAATACTTTAATCCATAAAATAAGGGTTAAATAAATCTCACGGTAAATACACTGAGATACACCTCTGTGTATTTACGGTGGGTCAGTGGGCGTCATTTATGGAGTTTCAAGAAAAAGTAAAGAAAGATCTTTTTGGAGGGGGATGTCGCTTCACTGTGTATATATTTAGTGTGTAGGGTTCTGTATCGAGTTATATCCTGGGCAGCTGTGCAGGGCTGTATCATATGTAGGAGCTGTATCGTGTGTAGGACTAGTGTAGAGCGGTATCATGTGTAGTGATATGTAGTGCCATATCATGTGTAGAGCTGTATCACGTGTAGGATGTAGTGCCATATCATGTGTAGAGCTGTATCACGTGTTGGATGTAGTGCCGTATCATGTGTAGGGCTGTATCACGTGTTGGATGTAGTGCTGTATCATGTGTAGGGCTGTATCACGTGTAGGATGTAGTGCTGTATCATGTGTAGGGCTGTATCACGTGTTGGATGTAGTGCTGTATCATGTGTAGGGCTGTATCACGTGTTGGATGTAGTGCTGTATCATGTGTAGGGCTGTATCACGTGTTGGATGTAGTGCTGTATCATGTGTAGGGCTGTATCACGTGTTGGATGTAGTGCTGTATCATGTGTAGGGCTGTATCACGTGTTGGATGTAGTGCTGTATCATGTGTAGGGCTGTATCACGTGTAGGATGTAGTGCTGTATCATGTGTAGGGCTGTATCACGTGTAGGATGTAGTGCTGTATCATGTGTAGGGCTGTATCACGTGTAGGATGTAGTGACGTACCATGTGTAGGGCTGTATCACATGTAGGATGTGTATAGAATGTGTAGAAATATATCAAGTGTATGTCTTTTGTAGAGCTGTATCATATGTGCTTTATGAAAGCGTAGAGTCTGTATAGGGCTTTTATCACGTGTAGGGCAGCGTATTACTGTATAATATGTAGGGTTCTGTGTAGTGTTATATTACGTGTAGGACTGTGTAGATCTTTAACATACGTTCTACAACCTTGTGGCTTTTATCTTTATGCTTGTTATCGGGATGTTGGTTCCTGGCCCTGGTGAAGGGCTCGTGATTTAATGAATTGGAAGTGCCCTCCTCTTCCTCATATCAAGCCTAATATATATATTATATATATATATATATATATATTATATATATATATATATATATATATATATATATATATATATATATTATATATATATATATATATATATGTATATATATATATATTTATGTCGTGCCGAATAGGCAGAACTTGCGATCTTGGCTTAAATAGCAACGCTCATCTTGCCATATAGGACAAGTGAAAATTTGTGTATGCAATAATTTTGCCAAAATCATTCTGAACCTAACGAAAAAAATATATTTCACTGTGTTTGTTTAGTATTAAATTACTGTAAACAAATCTAAAATATATTTAGTTGGGTTAGGCTAAAATAAATTGTTCTTGTTATAATAAGGTTAGGTAAGTTTTCTAAGATACTTTTGGTGCAAAATTATTTTTTTTTACATTAACATTAATGAAAAAATATATCTTTAAACGTATAAAAGAAAATTTCAGAAAGGACTTAATTTTAAATGAGTTCTTGCTAATTGACCAGTTTTACATATTCGGCACGACATATATATATAATATATATATATATATATATATATATATATATATATAATATATATATATATATATATATATATATATATATATATATATATATATACATATATATATATATATATATATATATATATATATATATATATATATATATATATATATATATATATATATATATATATATATATATATATATATATATATATATATATATATATATATATATATATAAAAACTAATGAGTCAGTCTTAAGAATAGCAAAAGTTGGATTTTTTAAGAGTTTACTGAGACAAATGGCATTTACCTCATTACAACAAATAGCATAATAAATTTGAGAAATTTATTTCACATTTGGAGCACTTACCGTGAGCTGCACAGAAGAGGACGCCCAGGCAGACGCCGAGAATAAGCAGTTTCATGCTGCAAGAGAAACAATTCTACGTTACTTACAGACAAATAATATTTAGGTGAGTGTCAAGTAAGATTACGAGGCTATGACAGTAACACACGGCACTGACTAATATTACGAGGCTATGGCAGTAACTACAAAGCTATGACAGTAACATAAGGCACTTACAGTAATATTACGAGGCTATGACAGTACTACAAGGCTATGACAGTAATACAAGGTACTGGCAGTAATATTACGAGGCTATGACAGTAATACAAGGCACTGACAGTAATATTACGAGGCTATGACAGTAATATTACGAGGCTATGACAGTAATACAAGGCACTGACTAATATTACGAGGCTATGACAGTAATATTACGAGGCTATGACAGTAATACAAGGCACTGACAGTAATATTACGAGGCTATGACAGTAATACAAGGCACTGACAGTAATATTACGAGGCTATAACAGTAACTATAAGGCTATGACAGTAACATGAGGCACTGACAGTAATATTACTAGGCTATGACAGTAACTACAAGGCTATGACTAATACAAGGCACTGACAGTAATATTACGAGGGTATGACAGTAATACAAGGCACTGGCAGTAATATTACGAGGCTGTGACAGTAATACAAGGCACTGACAGTAATATTACAAGGCTATGGCAATAACTACAAGGCTATGGCAGTAACACAAGGCACTGACAGTGATATTACGAGGCTATGACAATAACTACAAGGCTATGACAGTAACGCTATAAGGCTCTGACAATAATACTACTAGGCTATGGCAGTAACACCATAAGTCTATGACAGTTATGGTGTCATTGGTGAGTAGTCACAAGATGAATGACTAACAAGAACGCTATGTGACTAGACGAAGTGATGGAAGCCCCAGACTCAGTTAATATTTTACTGATGATTACTCTCTCATTGGAAACTATCATGATATACCAACAGGGTTAACTAACACGGATCGTCATTAGCGGACGGAAGATCAAATACTCCTTGTGCTAATTGAGCCAGCTTACTGTTCTACCCTAGATACACTAGATGCTAACACAGTCCTACACACTGCTCTCGTTGTACACTTCATCATTCCTCGTATCCTTATTTATCGTTTTATTGAAACACGTGAGTGATTGCCATCAGGTTGATCAGAAATCGAAGTACAATTAGAGGACTGAGGAGGGAGCCTCCATTACACCTTAGGCTGACTAGTTCACACGGGCGTTTTAGAAAACACAAGTTGCGTGTATAAAGCATAATTAAGAAAACACAAGTTCGTGTAATGAGGTTTTCAAAGTAGCGTCCCCCACTTCAGCATTCAAGGCTCAAAAACCACTATTCTGCCATTTGGCTGGAAATACCTGCATTTTTATTTGCAACTTCCCAGAATTTCAATTTCCCTTCACACTCCTGTTCCCTCCATGCGCAAAAAACACTGTCTATTAATCACTTTTCACATTTGCCTTCTATTTTAGACTAGGCAGTTTAATGCTTCCCCAATAAAAATAATATTGAATTAAAACATCTGTACCCGTCCTCTTCTTCCCACTATTTTTATTATATATACATGTATATATCTACGTTGTTTTACTTTCTTTTGTATTTTTGTGAATGTTTTGTCAATGTATTTTGTCTTTAAATAAAATATTTATCATATATAAGGGGTGGTAGGAGAAAATTCTCAAACAGTTTCAGGGAGAACCTTGAGGTTTCCCTGAAGCAACTTCAGTCTTTTCTCTGAGGATGAGGGTCCCTAGAACAGTTCTAGAGGTGGTACATATATATATATATATATATATATATATATATATATATATATATATATATATATATATATATATATATTATATACATATATATATATATATATATATATATATATATATATAATATATATATATATATATATATATATATATATCGTAGTGGAAATAAGAAATAAACCTGAGCGTTCATGCGCTTACACACATATCTTCAGAGGATTAGCTTTTCCTCTGAAAATATGTGTGAAAGCACATGTATGTGCCCAGGTTTTATTTTCTATTTTCAGTATGGTATTGTCACATATCTGCAATCACACGTTTTATTGTGATTTCTTCCAAAAATTCTTATGTCTTTTGGGGCGGGAGACGTCAAGTCTGACTACCCGAGTCCACCAAGACACTGGACGCCTCAACTTTGTTTAGAGGTTCTTTGAGATTCAATTCTCACTGCTTAGGTTCGTCTTGTCTTGTGTAAGGCTTCTGAAAATGGGTTTGAGGTTCTGGTTAAGTGACTCTTCAAGGGGGGTTCCTTGACGCTGGTGAGGGGAATTGGATCTGTACCCCGGCTCCCTGAATTGAGCCTGAATACCTCCATCCCCCCCCCACATGCGCTGTATAATTCTACGGGTTTAACGCTCCCCAATCTGGTTAAGTGGTGGGTCGAAGTGACGACAGAGGCTTCGAATCTACTGTTATTTATCACTTTCATATCACGAATTATAGTCGTAACTGAAGAATAGAAATCAGAGTAACGTGGTTGAAACCATTCATAACTAACTACTTTTTTATAGGAGACTTTAGACAACGTTTCGCACCGCACTAGATCATTATCTGATGATCAAGAGCTCCCCAAAATGTTGTTCAAAGCTTCCTGCACTGTACAGACTGCGGGTTGTGAATGTAAACAATCAGTCTAAAACTTCTACATAGAGCAGAAGTTCAAAATATATACTGAATTTTAAAAGTATACAAACTTAACGTAATATTAAAGTTATCTCTGTGAACCTGAATGTCTTAAGACGACGATAGACTGCGCCTTCGAGAGTGAATGTTGTTATATACCTACCACGGTATACGGCTTGTTATATGTTACTATGTTAGTCCCACACGTTATATATAGATTCTGAATTCAGCGCTTCCTCCTCACCCACGGGTGTATGTCACAGTGGCAAGGTAATTAGCAGCTTATCTGGCATTTATTTACTTTTAGCGATATCGTTACTCCAGCCTCAACAAGTAATCGGTGGACGGATGATAAAAGTTTTACATAGAACGTGCAAACCCAGGGTAAAACCTGACTCAAGTATAAACACACATGCTAATTAAATTGTTAAGTTTCCCTGTGCGGGTACTGAAGGAAACGAAACGTGACCGGTTTGTTATATTTATAAAGTATACTGGAGATTATCTGCGAGAGGACTGGTGAGATAGTAACCATCTCCATGGTAGAGAACTCGACTCACTGAAGGATCTTGGTTTAATCCCCAGACGAACTGAAACCTGTGAGCAAATCTTACATTTGACTGTGTTTACCTAACAGTAAATAGACACATATCTAGGTGTTAAGCGGTTGTTGTGAATCGCATCCTAGGGAAGAAAACCTCAAGACCTCTTCCTTCTAGGATTCAGCACCTTAAAGAGATAGCCAGGATGCTACTGATCCAACCACAAGTGTCTTTTTAGAAGACATTTACATAAAATAGAGAATGGTGCTTTTAGATTAAATTAATGGACTTGAAAAAACATATAAAATCACTAGGTGATGCCAGAAGACGACCATAAAAGTGTGCATGTAGCTAAAACATTGCAAATTAACATTTTACAGCGTTGAATTTACAGTCTAGGAGCTGGCATCCTACCTTGGTTCATGTTAAATTCGGCTCCATAGCAGGATCCTGCGTGTGTGCAGGGTGTGTACCTCACATAGACGGCCAAGTAATGCGGCAGTCTTTTGGAACTAGACGGCCAAGTAATGCGGCAGTCTTTTGGAACTCAGCGGTCCTCTCATACTCCAGAATATCAATCGTTCTACATTTATTTATGCTGTTTACCTTGCTTTGTTCCCTGTCGGACGTGTCAGTCTTAAAGTAACAGTTAAGGGAAGTAGTTTTTAGTTTATCGTTAAGGCAATTAGCTTAGATGAAATATTTTACTACATAAAACATTAACCAGGACATCTCCATTAAAATATTTATGTATCCTGATAGACTAATGGCTGTCCTCTCCCGGGTACCACAACAATATGTAATAACAAATAAAAATTTATTTTCGCCAAACAAATGTAATCATTTATGTTCTGCTTTTGGAAAGTTTTGAAGTAATCGGGTGAAGAATAAATATCGAAATTAGTGTTTTTCTATCTTCTTTCGCCATTCACTCGTTTTCTTTAACGAACAAATTTTACGTTAAAAAAAAATCACTACTCTAGAGACTACCTCACACAGGATGGGTATGGGGTGCATAATAAAGATATAAAGCTAAACTGATGTAATGAAGCACATATGGAAAATAAACACACTTGCTACAATCACCATTAAATATTATTTATTTATCTGCATCGGAAGAACTGTGTCCACTGATGCTGATTTGTAAACAAAGTTCAGCACTGATTTTTTTTTCCGATTATTATTATTATTATTATTATTATTATTATTATTATTATTATTATTATTATTATTATTATTATTATTATTATTATTATCAAGGGGGAAGCGCTAAACCCATAGGATTGTACAGCGCCCGGGGGGGGATGTGGAAGGCATTCAGGCTTAATTCGGGGAACTGAAGCACAGATCCAATTCTCTAAATCAAGAGCCCCTCACCAACATCAAGGAACCTTCCATGAGTTTTTTTTTTTTTCCGAGCTTCCATTTTCCCTGAATTTTTTCAGAGCTTTATTTTTCCCTGATTTTTTTCACAGCATTATTTTCCCTGATTTTTTCCGAGCTTTCCCGTTAACCTGACTTTATTCGAGCTTACTTTTTTCCTTATTTTTTCCAAGCTTCCTTTTTTACTTATTTTTCTGAGCTTCCCCTTTCCTTGATTTTTTCTGAGCTTGCCTTCCCCCTGATTTTTAAAACCATCCACCAGAGGGCGTCGCCCCTGTATAGTATCAACGATACACGAATGTAAGTCCCTCTCAATATGTAGAAAAAGATAGAGAAAAGTAATATGTACACTGTGTGTAAATAAGTAATATGTAGACTGTGTAAATAAATACGTAATATGTAGACTGTCAGTCAATAAGTAATATGCACACTGTGTCGGTAAATAAGTAATATGCACACTGTCAGTAAATAAGTAATATGTAGACTGTCAGTAAATAAGTAATATGTAGACTGTCAGTAAATAAGTAATATTTAGACTGTCAGTAAATATGTAATATGTAGAGTCAGTAAATAAGTAACATGTAGACTGTCAGTAAATAAGTAATATTTAGACTCAGTAAATAAGTAATATGTAGACTGTCAGTAAATAAGTAATATGCACACTGTCAGTAAATAAGTAATATTTAGACTGTCAGTAAATATGTAATATGTAGAGTCAGTAAATAAGTAACATGTAGACTGTGCATGAAGCCTAAATGTGTGTAATGATTCTTTAAGGAATATTAAACGCATGCTACATCAAAGACAGCCAAGGGCGCTGCTGGTCACCAGTGGAATTAGATTAATTATGCCTACAAATTAGTCCTATAGACCTAGGCTCTAACTTATTGTAAATTATAAATTGATTGGTAGTTTATAATAATATTGTTTTATTAATAATATTTTAATAATAATAATAATAATAATAATAATAATAATAATAATAATAATGATAATAATAATAATAAATTAAACTAGTAGATGTCATACAGCATCTTGGAAAGCACTAGACTCGTAGGGGTCATAGTGCTCGACATTTTAGGTGTAGCCTCTCCCTCAAGGGAGGTTTCCTGGTGAAGGGTTCTTGATCCAAAGAATGGGAGGTACCCCTCTTACCTCAGATCAAAGTTAATACTTCCCATTCACCATAGTTCTAGTACAGAGGCCTAGTATTACTAAATATTTCCAGTCTTGATGCATAATTAGGCTTATCATAATTTCTTTAACTCAAAACGGGACATTTTTAAGATTTTGAAAAGAAAACATATACTTGAAATATAAAGTAGGTATATTTTCTTTAATGTTTAATGTCTTCAAGCTGGCACTGGACAAGCACCTAAAGTCGGTTCCTGACCAGCCGGGCTGTGGCTCGTACGTTGGTTTGCGTGCAGCCAGCAGTAACAGCCTGGTTGATCAGGCTCTGATCCACCAGGAGGCCTGGTCACAGACCTGGCCGCGGGGGCGTTGACCCCCGGAACTCTCTCCAGGTAAACTCCAGGTAATGCTTGAAGTTCCTAAACCTGTACTCCCTGGAACGCAGGCGGGAGAGATACATGATTATATACACCTGGAAAATCCTAGAGGAACTAGTACCAAACTTGCACACGAAAATTACTCACTACGAAAGCAAAAGACTTGGCAGACGATGCAACATCCCCCAATGAAAAGCAGGGGTGTCACTAGCACGTTAAGAGACAACACAGTAAGTGTCAGGGGCCCAAGCCTGTTCAACTGCCTCCCAGCATACATAAGGGGAATTACCAATAGACCCCTGGGTGTCTTCAAGCTGGCACTGGACAAGCACCTAAAGTCGGTTCCTGACCAGCCGGGCTGTGGCTCGTACGTTGGATTGCGTGCAGCCAGCAGTAACAGCCTGGTTGATCAGGCCCTAATCCACCATGAGGCCTGGCCACAGACCGGGCCGCCGGGGCGTTGACCCCCGCAACTCTCTCCAGGTAACTCCAGGTAATGCAAGCAAATAATGGCTAAAATGTACCAGTTTCTCTATTAAGGACTACATAATGAAAAAAAAAACCATGAAGTATGGAATCACTCTTTGGCGAACCAGTCGTATATTTCACTAGAACAAACCTGTTATTTCTCATTTTCTCATAAAACTTACTGCCACTAAATCAATATTATATTGCAGCACATTATCCCTTTTACTGTAGCTTAAGTCATTCTACCTCTTTCCTGAGATCATACATTGTTCATCAGTGATAATAACCTTTCAGCTGAAGTTAGCTACAGAAATATTGTGTTCCTTAAATTGATTCAGGGCAGCAGAGTGACCTGTCAACCAAGGTGCATCTACATGCACACATATGCTATGTAGCATATTTATTGTAATTTCTGTTTTTCGTATTTCTCTGTTTTTATTTTATTTTTACTGCTGCTGTGTTTCTGTCTGGGACAAAATGACAAACTGACCAGGACTTTGGGACAGGACTTTCAACCCGAGACAATTCCGGTCAAAACGGGACGTACGATAAGTCTGTATGAATAATGCTGGTCGTATTGAATAGTCTTAGTATTACTCCTTAGGCCTTGTCTTACTCATTAGGCCTAGTGTTACTACCTAGGCTCGGTCACAAATGTACTATTTTGATTTTAAATTTCAGGAAAATAAAATAACTCATGTTGGCATAAATATTTAAATGTAAAACAATTCGGTATATTTAAATATGTACATAACTGACCCCTAACAATAATTTAAAGAGCAATATACAAAATAATTAAGTTGGTAGAAATATTACAAATCAGCAGAAAGTAGGTTGTAACGAGATCTTTCACAGGGTGGCACGTGTCCAGTAAGAAGCTTACGAAGTAATTCAAGTTTGAGAAAGAACATGATAAAACTTGTTGGTATAAGGCAGGATGGACGGCAGGTGAGTGTGGGAAGGAACCTTCTCGCCTGACACACACACCAAGGAAAGATCTTGTGTTAGGGTGAGTGTTGTGAGTCAGCACTTAGCCGCAGGCGGGGGGAAAGGAGGCGCCGTTGACGGTGCAGTAGAAGGAGAGGGAGAACGTGGTGGCGCTGTTGATGGAGGTGGAGGTGACCGTGTAGATGGTGGTGACGGTGGTCCAGATGGTGATGGCGATGCGGCCCTCACGGTTGCTGGGGTCTGACTCCAACAGTGACCCTTCTAGTGGTCCGCTGCAGGTCATAATAATAATGTTAATAATAATAACAACAACAATAACAAAATATCTGATAAACTTTTTCTTTTAATTCCATATAATACATAGTTTAAGGAGTAAGTACGACATGGCCCTCAAGGTTACAGTAGGAGGGCATGATCTAGTAAGTAGAAACTTGAGAGGCGGGGCCGAGAACAGAGACTCGATCCTGGCAACCACGTTTAAGTAAGCATATAGGTAAACGCGTCATGAAGATTGTAGAAGCAAGAAAACCGGAAACGGGGTATAAAATAGCGGTACAGAGGCTACAGACTTAAAGGAAAAACTGACTTAGAGGTGAGAATAGTGCCCAGTGTAACACCAGACTCTCACACCAGCTAAATAAAATATGAAGCCAACAATCGTTTGGCAAATCTCAGAGTAGCATTTAGGAATCTCAACAAGGAATCATTCGGAACCCATTATACAACATACATAATAATCAAGCCTGTTAACGTTGATAGAGTGCTGACTGTCCAGCAGAGAGTGTAGAGTGCTGACTGTCCAGTAGAGAGTGTAGAGTGCTGACTGTCCAGTATAGAGTGTCTAGAGTGCTAACTAGCCAGTAATAGGAGAAAGGAAAGTCTGAAAATAGAGGGGATTGGATCGCTAGTGAATATTTTTTAGTAAGACCTGTTTGGTACATCTTCTGGCTGCTCGTTACCAGTGTTTTGTATAGCAGTTGGTTTGTTAGGAAAAGAATACATTTGCAACTAATGCTACATTTTATTGTGGCAACGTCTCACTCTCCAGGAGCTTTGTCAAGCTCCTGCAGAACGAAACGTTGCCACAATAAACTGTCACATTAGTTGCACATGTGTCCTTTTTTCCTAACATATTGTAGGTAATTCTACTAACATTATTATAACAGTTGGTTTATTGTGTCGACAATATATACACAGAGAGGTGCATATGTCTGCATATACGGTGAGAGTTTTTTTGAACTTCCTATTTTAGGGATTAAAGTAATTTTGACTGATGGCAAGCAGGATATATGCAGCCTTAAATTAATGACCCTCGTGAAATCGAGAGGCTTTTAACGATACTTGTCACATATTCACCATTACTCAAATATAACCTAATCCCTAAAATAGGGATTAAAATAAACTCAGCATATATCCACTACTTTATCCACACAGCTTGTTGTGGACTGAGAGATAATGTTTGTAGACCGAGAGAATATACGCCTCTCGTTGTATGTATCTTTCACTCACTCTATCTTATCCATGCCGTTTGAGGCTTCATCAGGGGTGAGGGCAGAGTAGCGTCGGTAGCGGCGCCTCTGGCAGACGGCAGCGTTGGTGAGGAAGGCGCAGGTGTAGGGGGTGACGGTGGTGGAGGTGGTGAGAGAGATGGCTGTCTTGGTCGACCTGGCTGCTATTATCCTCGCATCATCTTCACTCCGACCTGTGGAGAACTTTTATAGTCATGGTGTGAAGCACTAATCCCGTATGAGTCTGACAACGCATATTCCTCAGATGAGTCTACAAGCCCACAATTGTCTACATGCGGCAATCGAAGAGTTTCAGGCAGGACCAAGAGGTGAGTGTTGACCCACCACAAAGACACTAGGGCAGTACACACACCTACAAAAACAACATACAAATGGCAAGGTAGACATTATTGATCTCAGTAAATCAGACTTCTACTATAATGTTGATGCAAAAATTTACAACTAACTTAAGTTGTAAATGAGTTTCCATCTACAGCTGTAGATTTCCATCCATAATTTGTGGGTTAGTAAAGAGTTACATACAACAACAATTAGCAAATACTTGAGTAGGCTATTTTACGATGCCATACATTTGTTATTACTGTTTGTAACGGCTTAACAAAGCTCCTGGAGAGCGAAACGTTACCACAATAAAAATGTCACATTAGTTGCACTTGTGTCCTTTTACTTTACTTTTCATTTACTTATTTTGGAAAAGAAGCACTAAATCCGTATGGGTGGAAGAGAGAGATGCCTGACCTTGCGCAACGCCACAGAGAGCTGCTGCCACACACACCAACAGCCACTTCATCCTGCAACCAGATTAACAATTATTAACACTGATGGTGATGTGTAACTTAACAAACATTAACACAGCTGGTGAAGTGTAACTTAAACATTAACACAGCTGGTGATTTGTAACTTTACGAACATTAACACTGCTGGTGATGTGTAACTTAAACATTAACACAGCTGGTGGTGTGTAACTTAAACATTAACACAGCTGGTGATTTGTAACTTTACGAACATTAACACTGCTGGTGATGTGTAACTTAAACATTAACACAGCTGGTGGTGTGTAACTTAACAAACATTAACACTGCTGATAGTACGTAACTTAACAAACATTAACACTGCTGGTAGTGTGTAACTTAACAAACATTAACACTGCTGGTAGTGTGTAACTTAACAAATATTAACACTGCTGGTAGTGTGTAACTTAACAAATATTAACACTGCTGGTGATATATAACTTAACAAACATTAACACTGCTGGTAGTGTGTAACTTAACAAACATTAACACTGCTGGTAGTGTGTAACTTAACAAATATTAACACTGCTGGTAGTGTGTAACTTAACAAACATTAACATTGCTGGTAGTGTGTAACTTAACAAACATTAACACAGCTGGTAGTGTGTAACTTAACAAATATTAACACAGCTGGTAGTGTGTAACTTAACAAATATTAACACAGCTGGTAGTGTGTAACTTAACAAACATTAACACAGCTGGTAGTGTGTAACTTAACAAACATTAACACAGCTGGTAGTGTGTAACTTAACAAATATTAACACTGCTGGTAGTGTGTAACTTAACAAATATTAACACTGCTGGTAGTGTGTAACTTAACAAATATTAACACTGCTGGTAGTGTGTAACTTAACAAATATTAACACAGCTGGTAGTGTGTAACTTAACAAACATTAACACAGATGGTAGTGTGTAACTTAACAAATATTAACACAGCTGGTAGTGTGTAACTTAACAAATATTAACACAGCTGGTAGTGTGTAACTTAACAAACATTAACACAGCTGGTAGTGTGTAACTTAACAAACATTAACACAGCTGGTAGTGTGTAACTTAACAAATATTAACACTGCTGGTAGTGTGTAACTTAACAAATATTAACACAGCTGGTAGTGTGTAACTTAACAAATATTAACACTGCTGGTAGTGTGTAACTTAACAAATATTAACAATGCTGGTGATATATAACTTAACAAATATTAACACTGCTGGTAGTGTGTAACTTAACAAATATTAACACTGCTGGTGATATATAACTTAACAAATATTAACACAGCTGGTAGTGTGTAACTTAACAAACATTAACACTGCTGGTAGTGTGTAACTTAACAAATATTAACACTGCTGGTAGTGTGTAACTTAACAAATATTAACACTGCTGGTGATATATAACTTAACAAATATTAACACAGCTGGTAGTGTGTAACTTAACAAACATTAACACAGCTGGTAGTGTGTAACTTAACAAATATTAACACAGCTGGTAGTGTGTAACTTAACAAACATTAACACAGCTGGTAGTGTGTAACTTAACAAACATTAACACAGCTGGTAGTGTGTAACTTAACAAATATTAACACTGCTGGTAGTGTGTAACTTAACAAATATTAACACAGCTGGTAGTGTGTAACTTAACAAATATTAACACTGCTGGTAGTGTGTAACTTAACAAATATTAACAATGCTGGTGATATATAACTTAACAAATATTAACACTGCTGGTAGTGTGTAACTTAACAAATATTAACACTGCTGGTGATATATAACTTAACAAATATTAACACAGCTGGTAGTGTGTAACTTAACAAACATTAACACTGCTGGTAGTGTGTAACTTAACAAATATTAACACTGCTGGTAGTGTGTAACTTAACAAATATTAACACTGCTGGTGATATATAACTTAACAAATATTAACACAGCTGGTAGTGTGTAACTTAACAAACATTAACACTGCTGGTAGTGTGTAACTTAACAAACATTAACATTGCTGGTAGTGTGTAACTTAACAAACATTAACACAGCTGGTAGTGTGTAACTTAACAAATATTAACACAGCTGGTAGTGTGTAACTTAACAAATATTAACACAGCTGGTAGTGTGTAACCTAACAAACATTAACACAGCTGGTAGTGTGTAACTTAACAAACATTAACACAGCTGGTAGTGTGTAACTTAACAAATATTAACACTGCTGGTTGTGTGTAACTTAACAAATATTAACACAGCTGGTAGTGTGTAACTTAACAAATATTAACACTGCTGGTAGTGTGTAACTTAACAAATATTAACACAGCTGGTAGTGTGTAACTTAACAAACATTAACACAGCTGGTAGTGTGTAACTTAACAAATATTAACACAGCTGTTAGTGTGTAACTTAACAAATATTAACACAGCTGGTAGTGTGTAACTTAACAAACATTAACACAGCTGGTAGTGTGTAACTTAACAAACATTAACACAGCTGGTAGTGTGTAACTTAACAAATATTAACACTGCTGGTAGTGTGTAACTTAACAAATATTAACACAGCTGGTAGTGTGTAACTTAACAAATATTAACACTGCTGGTAGTGTGTAACTTAACAAATATTAACAATGCTGGTGATATATAACTTAACAAATATTAACACTGCTGGTAGTGTGTAACTTAACAAATATTAACACTGCTGGTGATATATAACTTAACAAATATTAACAGAGCTGGTAGTGTGTAAGTTAACAAACATTAACACTGCTGGTAGTGTGTAACTTAACAAATATTAACACTGCTGGTAGTGTGTAACTTAACAAATATTAACACTGCTGGTGATATATAACTTAACAAACATTAACACAGCTGGTAGTGTGTAACTTAACAAACATTAACACTGCTGGTAGTGTGTAACTTAACAAACATTAACATTGCTGGTAGTGTGTAACTTAACAAACATTAACACTGCTGGTAGTGTGTAACTTAACAAATATTAACACTGCTGGTAGTGTGTAACTTAACAAACATTAACACTGCTGGTAGTGTGTAACTTAACAAACATTAACATTGCTGGTAGTGTGTAACTTAACAAACATTAACATTGCTGGTAGTGTGTAACTTAACAAACATTAACACTGCTGGTAGTGTGTAACTTAACCAACATTAACACAGCTGGTAGTGTGTAACTTAACAAACATTAACACTGCTGGTAGTGTGTAACTTAACAAATATTAACACTGCTGGTGATATATAACTTAACAAATATTAACACAGCTGGTAGTGTGTAACTTAACAAACATTAACAATGCTGGTAGTGTGTAACTTAACAAACATTAACACTGCTGGTAGTGTGTAACTTAACAAATATTAACACTGCTGGTGATATATAACTTAACAAATATTAACACTGCTGGTAGTGTGTAACTTAACAAACATTAACACAGCTGGTAGTGTGTAACTTAACAAACATTAACACTGCTGGTAGTGTGTAACTTAACAAATATTAACACTGCTGGTGATATATAACTTAACAAATATTAACACTGCTGGTAGTGTGTAACTTAACAAATATTAACACTGCTGGTAGTGTGTAACTTAACAAACATTAACACTGCTGGTAGTGTGTAACTTAACAAACATTAACATTGCTGGTAGTGTGTAACTTAACAAACATTAACACTGCTGGTAGTGTGTAACTTAACAAACATTAACACAGCTGGTAGTGTGTAACTTAACAAACATTAACACAGCTGGTAGTGTGTAACTTAACAAACATTAACACAGCTGGTAGTGTGTAACTTAACAAATATTAACACAGCTGGTAGTGTGTAACTTAACAAACATTAACACTGCTGGTAGTGTGTAACTTAACAAACATTAACACTGCTGGTAGTGTGTAACTTAACAAATATTAACACTGCTGGTAGTGTGTAACTTAACAAACATTAACACTGCTGGTAGTGTGTAACTTAACAAACATTAACACTGCTGGTAGTGTGTAACTTAACAAACATTAACACTGCTGGTAGTGTGTAACTTAACAAACATTAACACTGCTGGTAGTGTGTAACTTAACAAATATTAACACTGCTGGTAGTGTGTAACTTAACAAACATTAACACTGCTGGTAGTGTGTAACTTAACAAACATTAACACTGCTGGTAGTGTGTAACTTAACAAATATTAACACTGCTGGTAGTGTGTAACTTAACAAACATTAACACTGCTGGTAGTGTGACCTAACATTAAAACAGAGCAACAACATTGACCAAAGATTGGCATTTAATGTAACTATGAGAAACATATGTATACAGTCATCGGAAGAAGACTAAGAGAAAGAAGAAGAAGAAGAAGAGGAGGAGATAGAGGCACATATGTGAGGTAGGTAACTTCTAGGAGATATTTGACCCACCGTGTGGGCTTACCAGTGCAATAAGGCCTCATTATGGTGCTCATTTCAGCTCTATGTTATAGAATGGACACAGATGAGTTGGAAAATATACAGAGAATGGTGATGAATATAATATTATATATTGTAGGCAATATTAAGAAGTGGATGAATAAGATACAAGTGCAGCACTTAGGTATCTTTATTGTCGAAAGGTTCCGCCTGCTCGCAAGCTTCTTGAGTCGAATACTTGCGAATATAACACTGGAGAGAGTGTTACATTGGCCTGTGTGTCAGCTGGACCTGCCTAGCATAGGCCAATATAACACTGGAGAGAGTGTTACATTGGCCTGTGTGTCAGCTGGACCTGCCTAGCATAGGCCAATATGCCTACCGTAATGCTCCATTTATTTTTTGTTCTAAACACCAGACACTTGCAACATTATTGTATATCGTAACACTTGCCTGGACTACGTCACCACTAACTCACTGTTCAGAGAACACAAAAGTCTCCTCGTAACTCCTATTAAATTATAAGCAGCAGCAGCAGCAGAAAAGAGGAGCTGGACCTGAACCAGGGTGGAATGCTTCCACCAGCAACTCACTCATTATATACCTTCTCATTGGCCACTGTTTGCAACTAAATTTACCG